GTACTAAATGCGTTTTTGTTTTTGCAATTCCAGCATACAGTATAACCATTTATACAGCTTTTTAAACCGAGCACCATCATTCAGAGTCACTCATCAGTTGTTCTTTGAAGAGAGGACACAAACAAATGTGTAAAAATGTACGAGGGAAAGCTTTTTATATAGAACTGCTCACCTGAAATTAAACACACGAGCAGAAACACCTGATTAATGCGTAACATCCCTAAACAAGAATTGTTATGGCAATTAATCAATAATTGTTTTCTTGTAACATTTTAAAGATAACTTTTCACAAAGGTAGTATTTATACTATAAACATGCTTCCTTTATATTTATCTTAATAATGTTAGATTTCTGTTGAGACTGCAGAAATATTAGTTAATGCTAGGGTCATTTTTATTGTTCTGTTACATGTGATGTTGTATCTGAATGTATTCTATGTGCTTCCTGTTGTTCTTGAAATCAAAGTGGATTGAGAATGAAAACAAATCAACAAGTATAATTTGATAAACACTTGCTGAATTATTTCAACATAAATTGTTGCATAACAGCAGCTACCAAGTGTTTCAAATGGGGAGCAAAGGAGGTTAATGCTGTGAGCCTTAAATAAATGAACAATGGATGAAAGTTTTTATACTTACTCAAGTCCTGAAGTACTGTCTTCTTTTTTATGCTAAATTGTTAGAATATGGTTTTAAATGGAAATAATATATGAGTATGTATATATATATAGTAAATGAGTTCATAAAATATGTTTTTTCTTTGTTTTTCAGTGTGTGTTTTATGTGTTTTTTTTAGGTTTGTAGCACCCACTGTTTATTATTTATTTGTTAGTAAAAATGTATTTCTTTTTTATTGCAATGCATATTTGTGTGTCATAGTTTATACTGATATGGGCACAGGAAACAGAAACATGCTCAAGTAGGGGAGACCGGGGCTTGTTGTCACACTTTGTACACTCATGTATTTCTTGGAATCAATACATCATATAAAACATAAATGCGTACCAGATGAAAGACCAAAATCTCAGGTATATATTTTGTGTTCATGTCATTTTCATATCTTGTGTCAGTGCAGAGTTATAAGCAATCAAATAGAGAGTGTGAACATGTGACATGTTGCCCCACCATCGGGTAAGTTGTCTCACTACATGGGGTAAGATGTCACACTGGATTTTGCAACTAATAAAACAAGGAAAAAATTATTGTTGTTGTTCTTTTTTACTTGAAATTGAACATTGAAAAATGTTTATCATTGAGCTTGAAAAAGCCATTGAACAAACGTTAACATAAAATATTATGCAACATGCACTGGATTAAAGTCCTTAGGAACTGCTGGCACGTAGGCTATGGCTCTCAGACTCAAATGCCAAAATTCCAGATTGAATTGAATTAGAAAAAAAGAAAGTATTGGTTCATTATCAAACTTAAACCAGTCCTACAATGTGGACATAGTTCCAACAACAACTGGAAGATCCATTCATAAAGACTCAAACAAAATCTGACAAACAAATGTCCTCACTAGTCAGACTCATCATCCGCATCGCAGTTCTGGCATACGTAGACAGATCTGCCAGAGGTGCATTCTTCATGGGCCCATCCTTTGCATAATATTGTATTATATTATATATTACATTATTGTTATATTGCATTATATTATTATAATAGTGCATAATATAATAATGCACAATAATAATAGTGTTAAAAAATTGCAAGTCAATATATGCAGTGCATTTTCATCAAAATATGTGTGTGACAACAAACCCCAGAATGACTGAGACATGTTGCCCCAAACTACCATGTTTGTTAACACTAGCTCTATCTTAAAGTTATCTTAAAACAGAACAATGACTGAGGTATGACAGGATGCCTTAATCTCTCCTCTAACAAGTCCACATGTATCACTGTTAGGATTTTTATCTGAACGAAGCTTATTTTGAAATATATAAAGTTGATTTTTTACTTTGGGTTGTGGTTACTTGGTGCTCATCTCAGCTCACAATGTGCTCTCCTCTTCTCAGACAGGACATGACACCTGACCATGTAAAGGAAGAAAACTAGTATTCCACTTTTTAGTTGCGCCCCTTGGTGGAGAAGATAATTGCAATGTGACAACTTACCCGTGTGACAACAAGCCCCGGTCTCCCCTACATGCACTGATACAGCTTAGCATTTTCTTTATATCAAATTGCATAAAGGATGAACCAAAATTTTATAAAAATTTGCTTCCATGGTAACATGCAAATGAAAAAGATTCAAACCTAAGATCTAATAGTATATAAATTATAGGCCTACCACTTTTACAAGTAAAAATTAAAGTTACAAACACTGCAACACTGCATTGTCTGATCTATTTAAACTGACATGTATCATGTTTATATAATCATGCGTGTTTCAAATATTTTATGCATATCTAATTAATCATGTACAGAATGTTAAAATGAGGAATAATTGGTGACAAACTAAACTACTAAAATATTTGTGCTTTTCTTGGGTTTAAAAGTTTCCATTTCATGATATAAACAGAAAAATCTTATACAGAGAGAGCTGCAGAAAACCTCTTGCCATCTCTCCTCCAAGGCACAGAGTGTTGAAAAAGACCTTGCAGATCTCACCTCCAGATTACACACACTTTCCCCTCTTTATGATGGAGTCCTTATCAGTCATTATTTATGGTCTTACTGTGCCGCCTGGCTGGTGGAAAGAGCTGATTATCTTAGCTTTCTGGACTCCGATACAGGTTAAGGGTAGTTTCCTCAGAAAGTTCTTGGCTATCAGCTGAGAGGATTATAAAAGCTTTGCATGATGGAGATAGGAGGTTCCTCAAATATAGCTGCAATCACCATCAGATTCTCTCTGGATGTTTTAGCAGGTTTAATCCTCTAATATATCACTGTCACGTCCCTGACTTTAATCTTTAAGATGGTTTGTACTCAGTGGTTGTTCGACCAAAGTGACACTAAATCAGACTCATGAAACTGCTGATCCTCCTCCACAACAACACTGAGTCTGGCACATGCACGACTTATGCAAGCCTGAACAGTTTCAGTCCTTGTTTACCAACCATACTTTCTCTGCACCGTGTTTCTGTTTGGGTTTCATCCGGAGTTTGAGGGGTTTCTTCATGAAACTCAAACACTGTACGGAGCATATTACAGACTGCTGAAACGGTACTGGAATCAGCTCTAGAAACTGAAATAGAAAACATTTAATACTTGTGTTTTAAACAGCTGAGATTGATTAACTTTGACCTTTAACCTTTGGGCAAACTGAGCAATTCACAGAGCTGAATATGAAAAACGTACTTGATTGATAGCTGACATGAAAGTGTAATTTCTCTGGTGTATAAGATTAATCCTTCTTGCTTATTAAATATTGATATTAGTGTTACTGCTGTTGCTGTTATTGTTGTATATTATAATATTAATTTCCCATCACTTTTAATCTAGTGATACTATTTTTTGTATGTTGATTCTGTGTTTTTTAAAAGTGTGAACTTTTAACTTTAGGGTTTCAGCCTCTCCTTGCACTTCATACTATTTTTATGTATTTTTAAACCTGCACAAACATTAAAAAAAAAAACCTCCTACTGTCGACTTAAAATAGAAAACCCTTGTCTTTTCCCTTTGTCACATTCGTCGGTGCTTACAGTGACATTTTGAGGACACTCTGTTCATATATGCTGTGGCTGTTGTCACTGTGTAGGTATGCAGGTGTCACAACCCTCAGTGTCACTTCAGACTGGGCTCCATTCCTCACTCACTGCTCACCGACTCTCCCAGGCTCCTCTCTGGCTGGATGCTGGATGACTCATGAGACGTCCAGTCGGGTGGATAGTCGACTTGTCGAGGAAGCCAATAAAAAAAAAATAAACTGAGCATTACAGACGTTTTTAACAACACACACTTTGTGTTGCTATGGCAGGGAAAGCACAGGTGTAATTTATAACTATTGATTATGGCTCTGTTCCACTGGGTATCAGTAAGCAGTAAGGAAAGGCCCTTTTAGTTTCTCCATCTCGAGACTGAAGGAGACTTTCTCTATTCGGGCAGCTCCACTTTGGAGCAGCCATGTTTCTGGCACACAACGTTAATCTTTTAATCTCTTCGTATCTGATTTTTGTTGTCTGTTTACCTCATATATTGCCTTTAATTGTATTCAATGCTGCTGTTTTTGGGCGTGTAAGTAAAGCACTTTGTACTCGTTGCTTTAAAAAACAGTGGTACATCTTCATGTATGGAGCTATTGTTAATATAAGTAACACCTGTGCTTTTCCTACCATTAAATGTTATAATATGATATAAATGAGACATCAAGTGACACAGCAGTAGAAACACCCTAACCCAATAAACAATAAAAGAAAATAATAACCTCTCATAATCTCAACACTACTATCAACACAGGCTTGTTAACTTTCTCTATTCACACTGATCAATTAACTCTATTAGCTGCAGCTACAGTTTGTTAGTCTGAGCTGCTTTATCGTGACTTTTCGCACCATATTCTCCCCCGACTCACTGGACGTTACGCAGCCTTTGAACTGTGTTTCAGGTCATTGATTCATCAGCTGCCACAGTGTTCATTAAATCAATACTCTGGCAGCAGTGATTACTCACTGAAACCGGGACCCAGATAGTGACACGCCCCATGTGTGCATCATGATGTCAATAAAAACCCTGTCTTGATTTTAGAGCTGCACAATATGCAGAAGCTGTCATTTTGTAAAAGGTAATAGTTGTTTGTTTGTTTTTTTTTTAGCTACGAACTGCAAAAAAAAAGTCACATCTTCGTGATTTTAATTGTTTTTTCAGTGAAAATTTAAATTTCTGATGCCAAAATTATAATTCATGTAAGTAATAGTGCATCAAATCACAATGGTGATATGATGTTTTTACCATAACGTCAGTATTGTGAATAAAAACTGAACATGCTGAGGCGGAGATACATTTTCCTGCTTTTGGAAAAAGACACTGAGAAATCTTAAAATGTGAAACAAAAAAAAAATTCTTTAGGGAATCATGAATTTATTCCAGAAAAGTCAACATACCCAGGACAAAAACATCTTCTATCCCTATGAAAAATACATTAAAGTTGAAAAATAAAGTAAAACACATGGCTCATTTGAAGAGTTATGACATTTTAGTACTAAAAAAATATAACTCAAAAGTAAAAAAAAAAAAACATGCAACAGTTTTTTAAAGTTCACTACCTGAACTTTAAAACACAGTGAGTATGAAAAAAAGAGGAGGGAGAGAGAGAGAGAAAAAAAAAAAAAAAGACGTGTGATTCAAAATCTGCGTTGCTTGTTAGGTCCATAGTCTCCGGGCCCTGGGAGGCCCCTGGGGAAGCCACCCTGGCCTCCTCCGGGCATATTGTTGTTCCCTGGCCCCGGCATCATCGGAGCGTTCTCGGCAGCCATACCGGGAGTACCGGCAGCACCAGAACTGCCGCCCAGCGAGTTCCTGTTCATGGGCATCCCGTGGTTGCCCATGTGCATCCTCATGTCTTGCTCCCTGTTTTCAGGGAAGTTGCCCCTGAAGCCCTCCTGCTGCCGCTTCAACATCTCCTCGTTGCGGAGCCTCATCTCCTCCTGCCGGATCTCGGCCTGTTTCCTCTTCTGCACCTCCTGACTGTGGAGCTCCTCCATCCTCCGCAGCTCCTCCTGCCGCCTCAGCAGGTCCTGCCTCATCAGCATCACCTGGTGCTCGTGCCTGGCCGCCTCCATCTCGGCCTCCAGCTTCTCCTGGGCCTCCTTCATGTTGCGGTCCACCATCTCGTACTGCTGCTTCTCCATCTCCATCAGGGCCTTCCAGCGCATGGCGTACTCGTACTCGAAGGAGCCCGGCTGAGCGAACCGCGGCGGCTGCTCACGCTCTTTGTGATACTGCTGGTTTTTGTTGATGAGCTTCTCCGACAGTCCCTCCTCTTCGTCATACTGTTCCATGGGCTCCACAGTGATGGGTCGAGGGAAGGCTGTGAGAAGATAGGCGCCGTCACCACACTTATCCAAAGCCTTCCTCGCAGCCGGCTTTGAGGTGTACTCCACTATCCCCTTCCCCGTGGGCCTCCCTCGGTCATCCACTATGACCACAGCTCTTTCAATCTGCCCGAACACGGCGAAGGCCTCCTCCAGGAGCTCGTTGGACACAAAGTCTGGCAGGTTTTTCACAGTCAAAGCGGCGCCGTGAGTCGCAAACCTCACCCGTATGGGCCTGCCTCTGAAGGGAGTATCATCCAGCTCGGCTCGGGCGATCTCTGCTATGATCCGGGTCTCCAGCCGGATGAAGCCGAAGCCCCTCTCCTTGTTGATGAAGATCTCATTGGCCTTGCCGTACTTGGCGAACAGCTTCTCGAGGTCCTCCTCGGTCACTCCGGTCGGGAGGTTCCCCACAAACAGCCTGCTGCGCTGGGTGAAGGTTTTCTCCCCGGGCTTCCTGAAGCTCTGCAGGTCCAGGGTTAAGGCCTCATTGGGGTTGGTCTGCTCGCCGGGCTCGGGCTGCTGCCCATTGGTGTTCGTCCCTCCCTTCTTCTGCTCTCCACGGTTCGGGCCGTGGTTCTGCTGGGCGGCTCGGTTTCCTTGCATCTTTTTTTTTTTTTTTTTTTTTTTTATTAAAAGGCCGAGTCGACGAGTCGCTCGATGGAAGAGACTCTGAGTCCGAGAGGACAGTGGCGCACAAAGAGCTGCGAAAATGGCGAAGCTGCGTGCTGCCGCGACGCTATTGTGACCTCAACTCGGCGCGACTTGTGTATTAAATCGATGACGTAGAATCTGTGCGACGGTGCGAGAAAAGGAAAAAAAAAAAAAAACACAAACCGGTGTCGGATTTTTTTAAATTTTTTTTTTTATAAAATCTTATATTATATATATATTGGTCCACCACTTGTCTCTAAATGTGATGTAGGTTATTTTTTTAATTTATTTTTTAATTATTTTATTTATTTTCTCGCTCCGTTCGCGTCTTCTCGCGAGAAAACAATAGTGACGTTGAGCGGGTGATTTCGCGGGAATTGCCTCATTCGCTCGCAGACGAGGAATAAAATCAGCGATATCTAAAAGAATAACTCAATACCTGACTTCAGGCGGGTACCAGCTGAAGTTTGACTTCCCCTCTTTCAAGGTAAGGTCGTTAAATCCGGTTCATAATCGATATTCTCCAAAGAAACCGGCCTGTTTTGAGGAGCCTCATTAGCTGTCATTAAGTTGGGGTAAAACCCTTAAACCTGCTGTCTTGCTGAACCCCAATGCATCCGTGTATATTCTGCAAACCAACCACACTTTGCTCTGCTTCAGGACAGACATGTTCTCCGACCTGAGCGCCCAGAAGCAGGGCTCCTCTCTGCTCAGCCGCCCAGCCTCCGAGGACCAGGGGCCGGTGTTTGAGAGGCTGTCCCTGGCTTACAGTCCCTGCTCCGAGCGGTACAAGGTCGGGGAGAGGAGCTTCACTCGGCAGTATGCTCATATTTACGCAGCACGACTCATGCAGATGAGGCCCTTGCTGTCAGAGAGAGCCCAGCAGAAGTGGGGTAAGCTGAGGACACTGTTCTTCTCTTACTTTAAAGCAGTTAAATTATATTTCTGTGTTTCTTTTCTGATCTTTTTTTTCCTGTCCCCGTCACGATATCAGATGTGCCCATCAGAAAGCTGTGTGATCTTCAGACGGGGGAGCAGTGTTGCATTGTGGGAACCCTGTTTAAGCGTATGGACTTGCAGCCATCTATTCTGAGAGAGATCAGCGATGAGGTTGGCGGCCCCCCACACACACACACACACACACACACACACCTACAATCAGCCGATGACGCGTATCACCTCTCTTTCTTTCTTTCTCTTCCTCCGTCAGCACAACCTGCTGCCGCAGCCGGCACGAGCCAAATACATCAGCGACACCGACGAGCTGATTCTGGAGGATGAGCTGCAGAGGATCAAACTGGAGGGCAGAATTGACAGAGACAAGTGTGTCACAGGTCAGGATTTTTCTAGATTTGAAGACATCCTCGAGTCTCTCACTGTCGCATCGCTGGAGGAGCACAGCTGCGAGCACGTCTGTTGTATGTCGTGGCGTTTGTTTGTCTTTCAGGTAGTGTTATTGCAATATATGGAGCCGAGAGGAACGATGGGAAGTTCACGGTTGAGGACTTTTGCATGGCGGATCTTCCTCTGCAGACGCCGAGACCTGCGCTCAGCTCTGACAAGTACACGTAGACCGATTATTACCAATTATTGGATCCAATATTCAGCATATTTCCAATTATTGATATTGTTTAATTATGTTATCCTTACCTATACTTTGGCTACAAAAAATAATTTATTAGTTTATTATTTTTTAATAATATGAATCTGTAAAGTAACTCAGCAAATAAATGTAGTGGAGTAAAAAACAATAATAATAATTAAACAATAATAGCAATAATTGCCTCCATGTAGTGAAATACAGGGTACATGTACTTCAAAATTGTACTTGTGCATAATACTTATAAAGCTAATGCTGTTGTTCATCCTCATCCAGGTTTGTGCTCCTGGCCTCGGGACTTGGGCTCGGCAGTAGCCAGGCCGACAGCATGCTGGGGCTGCAGTTGCTGGTTGACATGGTAACCGGTCAGCTCGGTGACCAGGGCGAGCAGAGCGGAGCAGCGACCATTTCCAGGGTCCTACTGGCTGGAAACCTCCTGAGCCAAAGCACCCAGGACAAAGACGCATCAACGAAGGTAGCTCGAACTCATCTTACCTTGACACACATTTATTTTCATCTTTTATTAGTTTTACTTGAATGTTTCACTTAAAAACATTTCCTTTTCTGTCTGTCAAGCCCAAGTATCTCACCAAGAAGACTCAGGCTGGCACCGTGGAGGCAATTCGTCTGCTTGATGAGCTGCTGCTTCAGCTGGTGGTGAGTCTGCCGCCGCCTCTGTACAAACAATCAATGCATTTTGTTTTTATTTTGTGCAATATGACAATATATACTGTATACATCAGAGATTTTCTACTCACTGGCTATCTCTGGTAGTATTAGTATTCTCTGATTATTGGACCCATAAATATTTTTTCATAGATTTTCTAGAAATTGACTAAATTGTGATTTACTAATATAAATTTACATATTGAGTGATAGAGGATTTTATCCCTATCACCCCCTCCTATTACAGTATTCATCAGATTGATATTGAAAAGAGTTACTACTACAAACAGTAACAATGATAGAGGAAGCAACTGTTGAAATTTTAGTTGAGTTTTAGGGAAATAAAGCTCATAGTAAATCAGTAAATATATATTACATACATAAATCAGTTAGAATTATCTCAAATGTCAATATTTTCAGTATTTGTTTTATCAGTGTAACTTGAATACCTTTTCGGATTTAAGATTTCATAGCATAAACATTATTAAAATAATTGTTGGATGTAGCAGCTCCAAAATGAGTTCTCTTAAATACAAAGTAAAGTTCCTAGATCATAAGCATCAGAAATAATTAATGCTAAAGATGACTTAACAGAATGTTTAATCTTCCCAAGTGTTATAAACTAAACTGAACTGAACTGATAATATAGATATGTGTGTGTCACTGCCTCCTGCTGTTCTAGGCCTCACTGCCAGTGGATGTTATGCCGGGCCAGTATGACCCCACCAACTACACCCTCCCACAGCAGCCTCTCCACCGCTGTATGTTCCCGTTGTCCTCGGCGTACCCCACACTACAGCTGACCTCCAACCCATACACAGCTAACATTGATGGAGTGAGGTAAGGGACACTTTACACACCCCGTCACTATCTTTCATCCCGCATTTAGAATAGGAATGGCATCTGGAATACCTGGAAATTTAGAGACTTTAGAGAAGATTTTAATTGCATTTCAGCCCCTCACTGAGATTGCTTGCATACAGACTCGAGGCAATCTTTTTTGCGTGCAGTGATCGATGTTACAGTTGGAGGATAACTGTAGTAAACTGTTGTACATTTTACGGAAACTGTTGCAGAAAAATACGCTGTAGTAAGAACAGCTAAGAGCACCATGAAAGCGAGCTAAAGCAGGTGGTCCCATAAACTCTGACCACCTCCCTGTAATGAACTAGAAGTGTTCATGAAGGAGGAATAAAACTGGGGTTAAATGTGTCAATACGAGGTCTGCCGGGAAATTATATGACCGTTTGTGAGCAAGTGCTGTCCTGTATTCCCAAGAAAACTCCTGAAAGGTCCTGGAAAAGGATTTCTTAAAAAGAGTAGCAACCCTGTTAAGACCCAGTGTTTGTGTGTTTCCATGAAGGTTCCTGGGCACATCGGGCCAGAATGTCAGTGACATACAGAAGTACAGCAGCATGGACAGTCACCTGGAAATACTGGAGGAAACGCTCAGACTCAGACACCTGGCCCCTACGGCACCGGATACTCTAGGTTAGTCTGAGAAGTTGATGCAGAAAAACGCATAAACTTTCTGACTGATATCCGTTTGAATTATTCACCCTGTTTTCTGTATATTTTGTGTCAGGTTGTTACCCGTTTTACCAAAAAGACCCATTCATCTTGGAAGAGTGTCCCCATGTTTACTTCAGTGGCAACGCTCCAACCTTTGAGTCCAAGCTCATCAAAGGTCAGTGTGTCCCTCTCTTTCTTTAGACTCCAAATGGACACAGTATTTACATTATTTTTGTCTGTTTTCCTCCTTTCTAACGTGCCAATATGTTTCCTCTTCTCCTGCCAGGTCCTGATGGCCTGGAGGTCCTTTTGGTTACTGTTCCAGAGTTCAGCAGCACCCAAACGGCCTGCCTGGTCAATTTACGTACTCTTGAATGTGAGCCGGTCAGCTTCTCGGCCTTCTCCGCTGACGACGATGACGACAGTGAGATGAACATCAGCCACTGACGCTCCAAATCCAAACACAGTACAACATGCTGACACTTCTCGGACACTACTGAAGCATATTCAGACTAATGTCTCCTGGCTACAGACTAATCCCATCAACACTGGGCCAAGAATCACAGTCCTTGTCACACTGATGCTCTTCTGTATCATAAAGGTCAATGAATTGCTGTTAACCAGAAATCAGTGTTCACAAAGGTGCTAAAAAAAATAATGAGAAGACAAGTCATGTGTATTAACAAGCATTTATTTGAAAAATAACTTCTACCCCAACTGGGGAAACATGACAGAAGAATCTTTGACTCTGTTACCAGCCTTGAACAAAACCTTTTGTGACCGTCTATACTGTAAAAAATATCTCTGCCATGGATGTAAATATTTCAACTTTGATGTAGAAAAAAAAATGGTCACGTGCATCCACAATAAAAGATCTTTTCATAAAGCAAAAAGGATTCGTAAAGTCAAACTGAAGTACAATTAATTAACATGGTCACTTTCTGTGAAGAGGCATTTTGTTGAGTAGTAGATACACTATCTTTATACAATTAATATAGTTAATATTCTGTACATTGCCATTGCTTGTACAACATGGCAACGAGAACTACAAGTAGAAGAGGACGGTTGCATGTTAACTGTGTGTGTGTGTGTGTGTTTTGGTTTAATAGTCATCAATCTTGTACTCGTAGTTATAATCCAGGATGGAGTCTATGAAACCGCCGGGTGTCGAGGACTGTCCCTCCCCTATCGCCCAGTCATACCAGGGTGTGGTGCTTTCTGTCGTGGGAATTGTGGTTGTTGTCGGTGGTAACGTCGTCGTCGATCTTAACTTCAGTAATCTCTGTTGCCGGAGGCGACGGAGGCGAGCTATCCTGAGCCTCCTCTGCCTTTCAGTGATTCCAGAGTTCTGTGTATACCCGCTGTTGCCGCCAACCACACGCCTGTTGCTGTTAACAACTGGAGGGTGCTGTACTTTGTTGGTGCTATAGCTGAGTCGAATCGGCTTGTTGCCATGGAGAGCCATGATCTGCAGAGGAATAAAAAACAAAAACACACTTATTAATAACAAGGGAGACAAGTGTTGAGGGTGTGGTCTGTTCAGGGTGGCGTCTTACCTGTTTAATGCGGTCCCAGTTGGACTTGGCCAGGTTGAAGCTGCAGGCGGTTGCTCCTGACTGGTAACCAACCACACAGAGTTTGGTCACAGGGGAGAACCCTTCAGCTCGAGCCGTCACCCGGTACTCCCCCGGGTTAAGCAGCCGCCAGTAGTCCCCTGTTGGTGCTGCAGTGACAAAGAGTACACAGACATTTTAGTTTAAAGCACAGATGGCGATATAGATTGTGCTTCAAAGCATCAGAGTTAAAACATAATGAGATTCTGGGAGGGGAAGAGAGGAAGTGTTTCCCCAGACCCGTAGTGACGTCATGGTTTATCCCCTCTACAGACACAGTGGCGTTTGCGATGGCGTTCCCCTGCTGGTCCTTCACAATGCCCCTGATGCCACGATGCACCTAGATAGAGAGGGGTAATAGTTTAAGGGCGTAAAGTAACCAGTTGCAAGTTCTCTTGTTTCCATGACTGAGTAATATTTTAATATACATGTTTTATAATATTAATACATTTGGATGAAACACTGCTTTTAATTTAATTCCCTTTAGTTGAGTAATGTTGTACAGTTATATCACTTCTTCACCGTGTTCAGTATGAGGTTCGAGTACTTTCCAACAGAGAAGGCGGCAGTCAGTATGCTGTGTGCTGTATGTGACTGACCTGCTCCATGAAGATGAGCATTGCTTCTCTGTTCTTCTCCCACTCGTACGCCAACTCACTCTGATGAGGGAACTTATCACATCCCAGGAATATGGACAGCTCAAAGCAGTTTGTGTGCAGGTAACTGAAATCATTCATACCTAAAGGTAGAGAGAGTCATATACACACACACATTAACCTCACAGCCCGCACTGCTTATACTGTCCACCAGGGTGTGTTATAAATACATCCAGAAAGTTCAAATTCCTTCAAAAACATCACAAACCTACTGGCTTCTACTTACTTCCTGTGATTGGCTTCCATTTGGCCCGGTTGACGAGGCCGTGCCCCCCTGTGGGAGTGTCTCCGTGGCAGGAGCCGTGGTAGTTGTGTGTCATGGACAGGTGTGTGGAGGCGTAGGAGACAGCCAGCCACCTGAAGAGGGACTCGTCTGCAATCACACGAGGCTCATCCTCGTGCTCAGCGTACTGGTAGCCGGCGCTTCTTCCTCTGTCATCCTCTTCCTCCTCTCTGCGGCCATAACCTTGGTCGTAGCCGTGATCGTAGCCTTGGCCGTGGTCGTAGCCTTGGCCGTGGTCGTAGCCTTGGCCTTGGCCGTGGTCGTAGCCTTGGCCGTGGTCGTAGCCTTGGCCGTGATCGTAGCCTTGGCCGTGGTCGTAGCCTTGGCCTTGGCCGTGGTCGTAGCCTTGGCCTTGGCCGTGGTCGTAGCCTTGGCCATGATCGTAGCCCTGGCCCCTCCACTCCTCCTCTGGCTCTGCGTATCCCCTTCCTCTCCAGTCTTCCTCTGGCTCCTCGTGGTAGCCCCTTCCCCACTCCGTCACATCAAAAGCTTCTTCTTCGTACCTGTAAGAAATGATTCTAGTTGAACTATTTAACGTGTGAGTGTCTCATGGAGAGCTACGCAGGAGGAAGGAGGAAGGAAAATGAGAGTTTATGAGTGTAAAGTGGGGAAACGACAACCGAACAAAGCAGAGAACAAGTCATACTGTCTCTTCTTGCGGCTGTGGGGTTTCTGGCTCTCGGCAGGCTTGTTGAGACGTAAGCTGTCATAAGGATAAGCCACAATTGACTCCCCGCCCTGGAAGTTTGCACCCAACACAAATGGATGGCTTTTCATCCAGGAGATTATGGCCCTGGTTTCCACAGCAATCTGGAACGAAAACAGGAAGATCGGGATCACACAAACAGTGCAGAGGAAAATCCATGTATGCACAGTATATCCTCACTTCTGTTTACTGGGTTGACCACAGCCACCTTTATAAGTCTTTTACATCCATTTTATAGTAAAAAAAAACAAAACAACGCACACTATGATTATCTGGCTGTAAGACACAACGGTGCCCACTTCCTTACCGAGCTGTTGGCCTCTAAGTTCTCTGGTATGGGTACGTGGTGATTGGGGGTGAGTTTGGGCACCATGCCTTTATCTTCAGCATCCCACAGGATACTATTCAGGTCCGGGAAGTTCTGGAAGATGTCAAAGCCGTCCTCTGTGAAGTGTCCCGTGGTCCACCCACTCAGCTCAGATCCCTGCAGGGGGGGAGCAATTTGAATAAGCACATGGAGCCAAGTCACCCTGGACCACCAACACAGCATGATTCACCGGTATTTCCCATTTTGTTTTTTGTTTTTTGACTTTTTTTGTTTGCCAGTTAAGTAGAAGTTAAGTAGAAACATATGATTTTCAATGATCATAATCACTGACCGCTTCGAAAGCTGTCTCATGTCCGTCAGGGTTGAGCGAGGGCACCAGGTGGATGCGTATTCCCTCCACCAGCCGCTGGGCTCGGGGGTTTCTGTCTTTGTACTCTTTGCACAGGTACTGCATGAGGAGCAGGATCATCTCCCGACCCACGGCCTCGTTTCCGTGGAGACCTGCCGTGAAGCGAAACTCGGGCTCACCTGCAGAGACGAGCGGAAAGGACTGTAGTTAGTTGTCCCCTTAACCATAATCAGCTGACCTGGTGTTTATTAAGATTTATAGGAATCACCAGTGGTGCCACTGAAACCCAACAGGTTTAATTTTAAACCGGAAACCAGAGTTCAGACCAGCTGTTTTTAAAATGTTATGTTGGTATTGATAGTGCATAATGAAATACATTGCAATATTATGGCTATTTAACGGTTAAAAACAGTTCTATCTGCCCGTTTTATGGTCGTATGAACACATTCCCACCTATTTCGTGCTCTGTGGGGTTGCCAGAGATGACCATGGCCATGATTTCTTTGCCCCTGGAGCTGCGACCCAGGCTGTAGATACTGGTGATGTTGGGACATTCTTCATTCACTGACTTCATAAGCTGAAAAAAAAGCATTGTATATGATTTTATATTTACATTTTCACAGATACATCACAGCAGCTTGTGAAGTTAACAGTAGGCCAATCTGATTGATCTGTGCTATCGTGCATTAGCACTAAAACTCATTTTCAAGTAAAAACAAACAGTTCAAGTTAGTGTAGAAAGGTCAAATTGCCCTCCTGGTTCAGTGTTTAATCGTTCTTGGGGAGTTATATTTTGTTTCAGTGTTTGGGAAAATAACTGAGGATTTCCTGTTGAATTCAATCAACCAGCTGTCTGTGAGGATACTCACTGCAACCATCTCTGAGTAGCTGTGATGTTTGAACTCCAAGTAATCTACTGGAGTCACTTCATTTAGCCTGTACTGAACAACAGCTGGATCTGTGAAACAAGAATGAAGAAAACACATTATTTTGTGTGTTTTAGTGTGTGTGTGTGTGCGTGTGCGTCTGTACATGTGTGTGTTTGAGGCTCACCAGGCAGGGGGCAGCCTAGGACCTCCAGCCTCATACACAGAGTGCCGTTCCAGCTCTGAGGAATGATTCGGATGTAGCGAGCCAGCACGGGCTGTGCCAGCTGGTTCATCACCGGAGTGTCCGTATCACTGTTTCCAAAGAACAACTGGAGGAGAGAGAACAGTTAGTCAGAGAAGGAGGAAGGAGACATCATACCGCCAAATGAAGTGGCGTCATTTTACTCACCCAGTCAGCGTATCCATCGTGGATGGTGGTCCATTCTCTGCTGTCATTGCTGAAAGCCAGGAAGTAGGACGTAACGAAGTCACTCCTGAAACGAGACACGTGGTCGAAATGTTGAATTAACAAATGGAAAATGCAGCCTCTTCGTCTGTGTGTTTCTGTGTGACTGTGTCTTACTCGTTCGAGGAGTCTCGTCCTTGTGTGATGACTCCTGTGAACTCCGTCTCCCTGCGAGCGTCTATCTCGAACCAGTGGATCCTGTCCTCTGAGTTTGCGCACCACGCTCCTCCTCTCACGTTGTCTTCATCGTCTGAGCCCTGGGAACCACAGAGACCAGAACACGTGCTGCTGGGTCCTTTGACAGTGACATCATGAGCTCACACACTTGACTTGTGTGCAAATTCAAAGCAAATGTCAGCTTATCATGCACTGCCATGCAGCTCATTTAACTCATACTATGCACTTACATCGCAGATGGTAACTTTTATTATTCAAAGGAGCTTTTAAATTAAAAATCAGCAGCAGTAAGCAGAAACATTTAGTAGATTTATCAGCTGATTGAATTACTTAGCTGCTCAAAAGATCCTTAGAGCAGTGGTTCTCAACCTTTTTGGTAACAAGGACCCCCAAATTGATAAGATTTAGTTATTCCATAACTGTCTGTACTGTAGATTGGCAGGTTAACAGTGAAGAGTTTGAAACCTATGCAGGGGCAGGGAGAAATATGCTGATTTTAATTGCAAACAATCTCATCAATATTTGCTTTCTTGCCTCTGATTGGTTGTGTTCGTTCAGGCCCGGTGTCTTTAGGAGCACTAGGAGGAGCCAGAGGAACCTGATTTTTTTCCCCACAGATTATCTGTCTCATGTTTTACTGTCGGGATGTAGTGAAAAGTTTCAGCAAATATGATGAAAAATTGTTTTTTTTTTTTAAATGAATCTAAATGAATGTGTTAAATTGAACACCAAACCCATGCAGCAGCTGTCACCCCTCTAGATCTGCCCATGAACATATAAACAGAACAGGCCCTCTTATACATTCTCATTGAGCTAACTTCTAGTCAATTAAATAATAGTGAAATTAAAATAATCCCCATATTTCTGGGGACCCCCTCAAGGATCCCTGCAGGTCTCCAGACGCCAGGTTGAGAACCGCTGCCTAAGATTATGAACACTGCTGAACATAAACTACCAAAGCAGTTAATGGAAGTGACAGACTCAGCAATAACAGTATTTTCCAACATGTGTCGGGTAGCTGGTGTTTATTTCCAGACCTGGAAGTATGTAAGTGATACCTGTAACGTATGTAAGCTTTTCAGACCACGGCAGTCCTGCTCTGATTGTTGTGTACCTGCATGTTGAGGCGCGCCCTCTGAGGTGCAAAACTATACTGAGACACAGAGGAGGCTGAAAGCTGGTCTGGCTCGATCTTATGGGACTCCATCCCCAAGGGAGGACACTCTGCCACGTACACAGACACACAGCAGAGAAAATCAAATGATATGTTAATTGTATTAGCGAAGCTTGTGCAATGTTTTCCAGCTCTGAACAGACGCTGACTTACTCTTTGGCTCTTTGAAGACACGTGGTCTGCTCCTGGCCCGCTCCTCTGCCTCCTTCAGCTTCTGCGCTCTCTCTGGCAGAGGTCAGAAAAACAGTGTTAATGCCAAATAAATTGTGCTGTCTTGGCTGAAGATTTTCTCTCTTTCCCTCTGCCCAGAAATCATCTAGGAACTCATCATTATTTTGCAAATTTCATATGCCAAAAACCCCCAAGAGGACCTGGATGGCGGTGAGAAAACAACCCAGATGTTGTGATTTCCATCCCAGTCCAAGTGTGCTCTGATCAAACTCAGATCAGAGAGTTTACTATTGAAGAAGAGAGCTGGATCCCTTCGATCATCATCATAATTCATATTCTAACACACTGACATACTGTAGTTTACTGCTGTTAGTATGGCTGCCATACGTCTTACTGACAGTGGGAATGTAAGACATGTTGTAAGCTGACTGTACTGCACAAGCGGATCGGCACATACACCCATTAACCCACGCTGATGTGTGTTTAGGTGCAGACACACATCTGCTATTGTGTCACAGATGAGTGCTTCAAGACTGTTCTGAACTCTCTTGAATGTGCGCCCAAAGTTAGCTAAAAATGCTTTTCACCTTAAACCCAGAAAGCAGTGAACCGTCCACACAGGAAGTGAACTATTGACACCGGTCCTGACAGTCTTATAAATCATTGTCTCCAGGCTCGCCTTAACCACCAGCTAACCTCACTGCGCACAGCACACACGTGGCGATAAAGAGCTGAATGTGATGTGAATCCTTCAGAGCCCTGCCTTACAACATCCTCTGCTAATTCTCCCTTGTTGTCCTGTTTATCTTTATCACACTAATCTGCTGCAGGCGGATCATTCTCAGCTGACCCCCCCCCCCCTTATTTGCTTTCCTTCGGTCCAGCTCACAAAACATTTCTTTTTTTGAGATAATCTCCATTTTGTTTTGGAAGGGTGAATTTTTGTCCCCACCGTGCGACTCAAAGCAAGTACCAAACATGGTGGGAAATCACATCTGAACTCTCTTATAACAGAAACGTGATGCAAGGGAGTGAACACCTCAGAGATGTTATCTGTTTGTACTTTTGAACCTAGGTCACAGGCCATGTTCTTTGCTTTGGCAACAACAGTATTGTGTGTAGTCTGACATGATTGTGCAGAGCGGTGTTATGCAAGAAATAAAAAAAAAAAGGATACACATCTGGGTTTTCTTACCTCTCTCTTCCCTCTCTCTTTCTTTTTCTGCTCTCGCCCTCTCCTTCTCCATCCATTTGTCGTCTGTCTCATCTTCTTTCCTCCCTGTGGAAAATAAGAAAATCAAGGATAATTTTATAGAAATACCCATAAATACAGCAGCCTTGTGTGCAACAGTGCGTATGCATGTCATTCTGGGTTTTTGTAAGCCATTTGGAACAATAAACAGTTAGAAGGTCACAAAGGATCAGTTATAAATCTGGAAAGTTATTGACCTGACTGTTGTTTATCCCTTTTCATTGCTGCCTGTTTTGTTGGCAGGAATTCTCGCTGCAGCTTAACCAGTGAATCTAATATAAAACATTTGTGCATGGATATGTTTCAGGTGTGTGTGTGTGTGTGTGTGGGTGTGTGCGTGCGTGTGTGTGCGTGTGTGTGTGTGTGCGCACGTACTCATTCCGTATTCGTCGTAATCATCATACCACGTCCCCTCATAGGGAGAAGTGGCTGTGGGCTCCTCTGCGTAAAAGAAAAAAAACATCAAGTGAGACGTCTCGTTCAGTCAGTCAGACGCGCCGCTACGTTACAAGTGAGTTTTTATGAGATTACAGGGTTTAATCAGAGTTTTACAGGTTAGTACAGCCCTGATTTATTCAACCACAACAACTGTTCTTTATTTGGATGCCACTGTAACGCCTTCTATGTAATTAAGTTGTTAAATCTTTAATTTACATTTACAAGTGATCTGATGACAGGGCTTTTTTTGTTTTGTTTTACTCCACAGCAAAAACTAAAGAACGTTTTTGTTGACTCTGTGGAACCAAGCAAACCCACCCACTCCTGTTTGAAAAGTAGGGCAGGTTAGCTCACAGACTCATTATAATGTTATTCCCATGTGTTGAACTGCTCACGATTTCTCATCTGCTCTGAGCCTGAAGGCACAGATGGAATGAACATTTGGACACAAGTCTAGAGAGATTCCTTACTAGTTAGCTGCCTAATTGAAAGTTTACACATGCACTGGCGGATGTTAATTGGATTTCTAACGCCTTTGAGAGACAGCCGTTTACCTGGTAGAGTTTCTACTTTGATTTCAGGGCTGACCTCTTCACCGTCAGGGAATGGAAGACTCTCTGGCACCTCGTCTGCAGGAGTAGACAAATAAAACAATAAAAGATTTAAAAGCTCAAACAGAGGGATTCTATTAGTGTCAGAAACAGGACAAAGTAACAGAGAAGGCGAGAGGAATCAGTGGAAACGTTTGAATAGCAGCAGAGGTACAGTACAGTGTGATGGAAACACAGAGTAATGAGAACATGTCAGTCTGGTCCAGAGTGTCACAGAGCCACACGACACACTGTTTCCTACATCTGATCCTGTGGAAAATGTACTGCTGACCTCAGATGGACGGACGCTGGACGAGATACCATCCATCTTAAAAGTTTTTAAGTAAAATTGTACCAGGTATGAGTCACTCAGCTTTATTTGGTAATGAGTAGGACAATGTGTTGTAATTCTCCGGGGGCTGAGTTTGAAAGATATTGAATATGGATGTCGTCATTCTCTGTTGCCACAGACTCCTGAATCGTGCCAATTTATACTCTGAATTACAAGTTGTTTGGACTTTATTTTAAATTAATGATCACAGTTCACACAAAAATGTTCAGTTGTGGCAACAAAGCAAGCCAGTCTCTTGCTTCAACAACAGTGAGTAAGTCGTGATAACTTGACACCGAGCAAGCCTTTTTCCAATTTAAGGAAAGTTATGTGTCTGTTTCTGCAAGCATCTCCGATGAGTCATGTGGTCTTCTCTCTGGATCTCCATCGTTATCTACGATGGAGATCCACTTTAACCACTCCCTGTACTCTTTCTTTGAAACTTTTCAAACCAGGATTCACAGATCAAACCTGAAACTGCTGGTGAAAAACAAATGAATTGGAAATGAAGTTAAAGGTACTACAAGGAGTTTTTAAATGGTTATAAAACAGTCAAAATTCAAACTGATGCCTCTATATGATCTACATAAGCAAACAAGACCATCAGTGAGAAGACTATTTCTATATAATTATTGTTAATGCCTGCCACTGAGTCGGTTTTGTCCACAGGGGTCGCCAGAATCAAGATAAAATTGATAGAAAATACAAAAAGTTCATTGTTGCTGCTTTAAACAACAATTTAACTAAATATAATAATATAATTATAGTTGTTGGCTTTACTAAATGTCCCTAATTGGCCTACTTTACAACTTTTAAAGGACCAGGGTGTAGGATTTAGAGGCATCTAGTGGTGAAGTTGCAGATTTCAACCAACTAAACACCACTGAGGTCTTTATTTAACTACCTAGAAATGACAACAGTTGACACATTATCTGGTCTTCTAGTGACGATTATCTGTATAAATCTGCAAAATATCAGAATCAAAATCAAGTTTCAAAACCCAATTTTGGTCAAACACTAGTTCTGTGTGTACTCAGATTCATTACACTGTCACAATGAATCCCAGTGACCACTGCAACAATGAAGGAATCACAAGTTAAGTAAAATTTAATCTCATCATGTTCATGTTTCGATAAACTGTCACCACACAAAAAACCACAATAAAAACAAAGTGAGGAGATGAGTCAGACATACATGTGGCGTCCCAGTAATCGGTGTCATCTGTCCCAGCCTTCCCATCAACCTCGGGGGAAGGGGGCGTCGGGTCCACCTCTTTCCAGTAGGTGTCATAGTTGTCAGTCACGGGAGCGTATGGTTCTGTATCATCTGGTGTCCAATAGTCATCGTAGGGGTCAGGCACCGGAGTGGTCGGCTCTTTCTCAGCAGGTTTCCAGTAGTCATCGTAGGTGTCTGTTACTGGAGCACCTGGGTCTTCCTCATCGGGCTTCCAGTAGTCGTATGGAAGATCTGTGATCGGAGCCTCGGGCCGGGGCTTGGATGGTGTGGGCTCAGCCTCCCAGTAGTCATCTTCTGGTTTCCAGTAATCAGTGTCTGACAGAAAACAGATGGAAAGATAGTGTCAGATGTCTAGACTGAAATATTCTGTGTGGTTCATATGAGTTTATATTTATAGATACTTTTATTTTACATGGATTTTACATTTACATTACACAGCAACTGTTCATGGAAGCAAACAGGAATAAAATTGGTTGGTTTTTCCTGTGACAGCTGAATGGTACTAAAAATGTTTTTAAAAACTAACTTCAGCTACTGACCTTTTATTTTAATAGATAATGATGAGCACAGAAGAATGAATGCTTAAAAGTCTCAAGTTTAAGAATTTAAGCTCTTCTTCCTTGTCTAAATATGGTGCATACATTACCCACAACTCCACCGCCAACAGTTTGGTTGGAGATCCAGAGATGGAGCAGCCAGCTTCAAGCAGCAATGGTGGGTGAGCTACAGAGGCCCGGTAATCTCACTTCTATCTCTTTCCACATCCCATTTTATCCCTTTTTTTATTAACAGACGCTGACTCAAGTGACATCACTTGAGACAATTAATCAGACCTTGAGCAGATCCCTCTGGAGTACTGACAGTATATAATTAGCGGACAGAGCTTCTGGGTCTGTGAAGTGAAGCCAATGCTGAAGTGTCTTAAACCTGCAATGACCTGTCAATCACAAGGTTGCCACGCCCTAAAGCATACCCTGCTTTATTGTGTATTTTACTCTAAATTGGACCATGATTTACAAAATAAACATCATGCTGTGTGGAAGAAGACTTGAAACGTGATTGAGACCATAAACTCATTAGGAAACTGTTTGCTGAGCTCATAAATCAAGTGAGAAGTCGGCTAATCCATAAGATTTTTTTTCAGCCCCCTGCAGACCCAGAAATGTATATATAAATATAAATATATACCGTCAATGGTACCAACCTACTACTATATTTTGAGATATTAGAAGGTGGGTGGTGCAATTTTTTACAGGTCAGAGGTCGGGCTCAAATAAAATATTAATGTGTGTGTGTGTCACTCACCAACATCAGGATAAGGGTAGTCTGTGTATGGTTCAGTGGGTGGTTCAGTAGGTGGTTCAGTCGGGATTGCTAGAGGCAGCAGACAGACACAAGGTCAACCTTCATTCAAGTCCAAGTCATTCAAGTACAACCTTGGCTCCCTGCTCTGTTCTGTCCTTACGTGTTGTGGTTGGTGGTAGAGTTGTGGTTGTTGTCTGCCTGTCCTTCTTCTTTCCTTTCTTGTCAGTTTTGGGCTTTTTGGTGGCGTTGGGGTCTTTGTTCTTCTTCTTGTCCTTCTTCTTCTTTTTGCCTTCGTCTGGTGCTCTCCTCACCCTGCCCGAAACACCTGGAAGGACGAAGAAAACCAGAGAGGAGAGAGGTTTTCCAAAACTCTAGATCAGAATCAATCTCCCGACCTGAATTACAAATAAACTCTCTTCAGATTTTATTGCTGCATTTTTTTAAGACCAAGTATTTATTAGCAGGCCAAAATCTGCCAGTAACAGCTGCCAAATTATTAATCGTTGACAGAAAATTCCTACTGAGCACTCAAGTAAAATTCAAAGCTTATGTAATTCTGGTTCTTAGTTTTGTTTGTATCATTTACAAGCAATGTGAGAATAAAATGATGCAATTATATCTTTCCTGCGATGTCAAAACGCAGTGCTGTGCCAGGGAAAATCCAGACAGCCAGATGCATTTCAGTGGTTGCTTGAGGTCCATCAGTATTTCCTTCTGAGGTAGTCTAAAGTCCTGAGGCACTTTCATGGAAAACACTTCTCTGTCTTTCCATAAGTTGTGCTCCATTAACCACAATTCAGTTTTAATGACACTAAATCCGTCCAGATACTCAATAAATACATCAATATCACCTCAGGTCATCTTAACCCCTAAGCATAAACCCAACAGTAAGAGTCATTAAAGAGCTCAAGTCTATTACATTTTAGTCAGAAAGCTCTAGAAAAGACTTGAATCGCAAGTATCCACTCTGCCTGCGTGACTGTGCAGCAGAGTCAGCATTAATCATGCAGGGTTACGGCAACAGAAGCAGTGGAAAAGGTCAGTGTCATAAAAATCTGCCTGCAAGATGCTTGACTCTTCCTCTCTCGTCTGGCGTGAGCCAAAAAACCTACCCTGTGGAGAAGCAGTAGTGGAGAGGTGAAGACCTGGACTTTTTCATGCCTGTTGGAGCTGTCAGAGACTGGAACGGTTGTGTGTTTGTGTCTGTGTTTGCTCCTCCATGTCGTGTTGGAGCTCAGACCTGAACTGCTTTGTTGTAACATGTCTTTATTTTTATAGTTAAAATTAAAAAGTTCTCCACTCACCTGCCTGTGCAGCCTCCTCTGTGTCTCTCTTCCCCTTCTTGCTGCCTCCCAGTGGGTGTAGGTCCAGTGCAAGTCCATGTTCACTTTCTGGGTCATCCAGGGACTCTTCTCGCGGCTGATCCCCTGCCTGCCTCTCCCCTTCAGTCTGCTGGAGAGAAACTATCCCCCCAGCACTCTCCCCTCCTCTGGGGATCAGCAGGCAGCACAGGGCCAGCAGAGCCACAGACACAACCACAGTCTGGCTTTTCATACCTGCTGCTCCTCCAACTGCAGAATCCTTTGGTTTGGAGTTTTCTTTTCTTTTCTCCCTCAGCCGTCCAATGCTCAATCCAATTCCTCTCCACCAGGAGAATAACTTTTCACCCTTTCTTCCCCCCCGTGTCCTTGCAATGTGATCCACACTTTTACTCCAGCAGGGAAATTTCTGCAGCTCCACACGTACCCACAGCCACAGTGTCAAGCAGGCTCAGGCTGGGCTAGACGGAGATGGAGTGGGAGGGGGGTAGGGATAGGCAGGGAGGGAAGGGAGGTGGGTTATAGGGAGAGAGACAGAGAGAGAGAGATACAGAGTAAAGCAGTAATCCCGTCAAATGAATAGACTGGGTTCCTAATTGCCCCACAGCTACGGTCAGCTGAAAAAACAGCGTAAGGCCAGAGGATCCCCCTCACCTGGCTGACGAGTCAGAACAGGTGCAGGGCTCAGACAGGAGGTGGGAGGGGAGGGGAGGAGGATGAGGGAGGGCAGGTGAGGCCTCTTAGACCGCAGGGTTTGTACCTCCTGGGTGACAGACAGAAACCAGCTCCTTTTCGTCGGCAGCTCCTGTTGAATTCCTCGGCGGAGAGCTTTTCGCCCTGCAGACTCACTCAGAGCAGAACAGCAGGAGAGAGGAGTGACTCCCAGGACACTGAATTCCACAACAAGAGGAGGAGGAGGTGGAGAAAGGGGGAGGATAGGGATAAAGTGTGTGTGTGTGTTAACAAAACCAAACACCACTAATGATCATTGGGGGGAGGAATTCAAAGAAAATGAAAACAGGCAGGAGTAGAACATAAATTCTTTCCCTGTCTAGGGCCTGTTTTGGTTGGGAATGGACCTTTGCTTTCCGTTTTGTCTTGGCGGTGCTCTGTCACTCTTTCCTCGGTGTATTGCGTAGCTATGTAAGTTATGGTAGGCAAAGGGGGCCGTGGGGGAGGCAACATGCAGGATGGGAGAATTGTTTGAGCAGATGACAGAATTACCATTTAAAGTTTGGGTGTTTTCTTTGCCACCCCCCCTCGTCCTCCTCCTCCTGCTCCTCTGTCCATTGTTTGGAGAGCCTGGCGAGGCCTTCAGTTGCTGGACTTGTAGTATATTTTGCCACCATTCCAGTCACTAGTAATTCAGAGCTGTTTAGTCTCAGTGTGTGGAATATGATGGACCTCCAGAGGAAGAGGCGTCATGTTGCCCCGCTTATGCAGACATTCCTACGAAATGCGATGACCTCAGCTTAAGTTTCTGCTCCAGTTTTCCAAAAAACTCCATCGTCACCTGCACTCTTCCATGAAAGGACGTTTATTATCCAGAAATGCCCGATGTTAGAATAAAGTAGTGAAATCAAAACACTGTACAGCTCACTGAAGACCTATTATTATTATTATTATTATTATTATTAATATTATTATAAGAATAATTTCCTCAAACTGAGCGGATTTTCAGACAAGACACACAGAGGAGCAGCCAAATGCATGCAAACACACACAAACACACATGCTGAAATAATTGAGCTCATACACAGTAAGTAAAGCACAATTGCATTAAAAGGAGGATGAGTTTAAGAGGACTGTATTGTAACATGCAATCAAATATATGCAGGATATGACTAAGGCTGCGAAGAATGCAGCAGATAATTCAGACTACAGTAAGGTCAAGCAGAGGCCTTTTTAAACTGGCAACGATACAGACACACACTGGGGAGCTTGCTGGAAAATGCTTTTTTCTTTCTTTTCTTTTTTATTTTTTTACCCAAGCTATTTCACAATACAGAGAGAAATCTATGAGGGCAATGCCTTCAGTAATAAAAAGCAAATGAAAGCATGGAAAACAAGATGTGAATCACTTCAATTACTCATAAGACAAGAGAGGAAAGCCAGTGCAGCTACATCCTGATGATAAATATCTCTTCTCTGGTGGTGGAGAGAAGAGAAACTGGAGAATTTAGTCGTAATTAAGTCTTAATTTTACATACAAGCAGTGGACGAGTGTAACTAGGTGCATTTCCTTAAATGCTGTAAAGTTTTGAGGTAAATAGTTTTACCATTTTATGCCATTAAAACCTCTCCTTCACAACATCTCAGCAAATATTACTCGACTTTGACCAGCTACATTGAAGCAGCACTATGTAAATGAAAAATAATGAACAATGTGTGTATCCCTGCATATTGACATGGGGCTATTATGGAACAATCCCATATATAGGGCCTGTTTTCCAGCCCATCTAATACCCACATGGCCCCCACACATAAATGTTGGCAGTATTTTGGCCAGCAGATGCTAACACATAATGTAAACGAAGCACAAGGAGAGAAGATTCATAAAGTTTGCTAACAGACTCAGTAATGTCAGTTATAGAAATATCTGAAGACACCGACATGGTCTAGCTTTAATGCCTCAGTTATATTAATATATAGTGGAGGAAGAAATATTCTGATTCTTTACACTATTATTTTGATACTTTATATACTAGGTAGGTGGTTTAATGTGTAGCAATGCATTATATTTTATAAGATGATCATATTTTTTATTTATGTTAAATCTAAAAAGTAACTATGGAGTAAAAAGTAAATATTTCCCTCTGACTTATACAAGAGTATTACTACAAAGTGGCAAAAATAAGTAAATTATGAATTACATGGGTACTTTTACTTCTAATACATACTCCATTAATTTACTTTAATATAGTTTTGAATGGATACATTTCACATGTAATATTACTCAAGTATCTGAAAACTTAAACGTGACCTCACAATGTTCAATCACTGCAACTTTTATGCAAATTTGACCAATAATTGTAGTTTCCCTCAGGTTTCCCCGGTAACTAACATTGTGGTTAAGCCAAATTTTACAAGTTGCCTTTAATTTGTAATGAATTACACCAAAAAAACACAAATATTGTTGCATATTTTGACCTAATCCTCCTGTGAAATTACACTTTTTATGCCTCAAAAACCCATAAAAAAGCCAGCAATGTCCCGGAAGAACTGTTTAATTAAGTTAGAAACTATTCACACTTGCCACACTCACACATAGTTTAAAATACCTTTTTCACAGCAGCCATTTTGACCTGAAATAGTAGGGTAAACTGTGTTACCAATGATACAAATGAAAGTCAAACAGAATCAGGGTGCTGCTATTGTGCATGTCGGCTCAATGTAAAGGCTCTGTTACACTAAATGAAACAGAACCTTAACTAGTGTCAGTAAAACCTGTTTACCCTACTATTTCAAGTCAAAATGGCTGCTGTGAAAAGGTCTTTTGCCATGCAGACAACAAAAAAGCAGCAGCACTTCACAGAGTTTTAACTGACTTTTAATTGTGTCTGTAAATTCCTATAGGTCAACATCAGCAGAGTATACATTAAGTTTAGGGTCTGTGCACACAGCCTTGAGTTGAGTGTCAGCATCTACTGGGCAGGAAACAATGACATCAGAGAGAGAGAGAGAGAGAGAGAGAGAGAGGAGAGAGAGAGAGAAGGAAGAGAGTTGGGGGAGGGAAGGCGGGAGAGTAAGAGTGAGAGAAAAATGCTGTATTCCAGCAGGCTCACTAGGTACAAATGGAAACAGACTTATACAGCTCCATCCTGCTCCTTTCTTTTCATTCTCACTGGGCCTGTGGACACCTCAACAGTCCAGCAGGATATCTGACACATAACGGATGTCTGTGTATTAGATTATTAACCCTTTAACGGGCCGCTGAGCCATATAACTGAAGTTGTGTCGCGTGTATTTGTCCTTTACTCACTGCACGTTAAAAAGAAGGCTAATACAAGCAGAGGCATCACAGAATACTGTTAGTAGGAATGAAAAATGGCTTGTGGAACTGTGATTTTGAGTCAGATCACTGATAAAAAGGTCGGCTAAAATATTTTTTCCATCCTGTGTGTGCTGTGATTCAGCAGGTCCACCACAGCCCAGTCATCTGGCACTGTGGGACTGGAGCCACAAGTCTGATTAAGCACAGATGTAGAAGCATGCAGCACCAAGATTCCTTTGGAGGCATCCCAACTTCATTGACCCAGGACAAAAAAAAAAAAAAAGCCCCCTCCTCTGATCAGTTGCAAATATCTCAGCATTGTACTGCAGTGGCCCTGTATTACAGCAACACAAAGGAAGTGTTACAAGAGTTTATGTTTAATAAAACCTCACTGACGTCTCAGTAATTTGTTTCCGTTCATGAGAGATGAAGCGCAGACTGAAAAGCCTTGGACTGTGGCTGAGTGTCTACACAGGCTGCCAATATCCGTGCTCCGCCCTAATGATGAAGCACCGCGAGGAATTAAGGAGGTTCACTTAAAACTAAACAACCAAAAAGGAGGAATAAATACAGATTAGGTTTAAATTTCACAGGAGTCAGCTGATGTGAAGGTTAGAGCTCTGACAAGTAAATCAAACTGGCTTTTTGCTGCTCAACAGACGAGAGTTTGCTGTTTGTGTGCATGAGAGTATTTTACTGTACTACAATACATAGTAACAACAGCCCATGAATGATGTAGCACCTGTGGATTGTAATATGTTCTCTCATAGCGTTGGTCCTCGTAGTTGCAGATCTGTCAAAGTGTGCTCTCTAGTGGCTCAATTAGAGAAAAGCTACAGAAACGTTGAAGCCCCATTACAACCCAGAGCTGTGTCCCAATAACAAACTACATAGTAATGTAGACAGTGTGCAGTTGATTGCCCCACAATGCATTACACAAACAAACAGGAAGAGCTGCTGAAAAAAGTTCAAACATAAGTGAATTAATTCATCTATTGAAAGAATTTGAGCAGTTTTGATAAACAATTAGTTGTTTAATCAAATACCTGCAGGTTTTAGCTTGTCAAATGTGAAACTTTTTGTTTTTATTTTGCAAGTTTTAGACATTTTAAAGACTAATATATTTCCAAATTAGTACACAACAGATGATTCAACATAACATATTAATGTATTGTATGAACAATATACAAAACCTGTGTCAATGGACATCAATCAAACTGTGACTTGAGAATATCGCTGCCAATTAAGTTTTATTAAGAGAAAGCAAAATGACTTTCCAAACAATGTTGGAAATGGATAGATGCAGCCCTAAAAATAAATACAGGGGTGGAAAGTTATGTTTGATTGACTCACATTTTGTATAATTTCCTGATAGTACAACACAGCAGTACAGTGACCTGGTGTACACTAATGGGGAATTAACTGTACAGGTGTAGTGTGGATAGTGCTAGAAGTGCAATTAATTAGATTCAGTACAAAGTCACACAAGGTTCAGTGATTCCACAGAGAAAATACATTCGTTTTTAAACAGCATTTATTTAGCTTTCTCCATACAATACATTTAATGTACAACAGCACATACTGTATTCTGAAATAACTCTCAGTATAAAATAGGGCTTCTACAATCAAGGTACAGTCATAAAATGCTCTGAGGGACATGACGACGACGGCAACAGTAAAACACCTTCATATAAAGCGCAGGATCTTGAGAGAGAAGTGATTGTATTTGCCGAGCTGCGGCTGTGGAAAGCAGAACTTCACACCACACCTCTCAGAGCATCCGACATCCTGCAAGAACCCGTTTGGTTTTTTTTTGTGTTTTTTTTTTCTCTTGGTTCTAGTTTCACAACTGAGGAGATTCCAAACGATGATCAACGCATAAGAATATGATCTATTACAACTGCCTGAAAATATAACTTTTGGTAATATGAGAGGATAAATCAGGCCTTGTTTGGATACTGAATATATACCAAGGTCAAAGCATACACCGTATTATGACTGCTAATCAAGCCTATATCTTTACAATCATATATTGAAGTGTTTGTTTGTGACTGTAGCTGTAAAGACTGGATTGTTTTCTGAGTGTTTTCAGGACATCAAACACTTAAACACAGCAAAAGTATACTGTACTATCACTGAAGCCACAAGAAAACCAGCTTAATTCAAACATGGTAAACATCAGCCAATTATAGATCGATTTAAAAAGGATTTTTTTTTTTTTTTTAATCTGCAGATGTGCATCAGAGCGTGTGTGGGCCTATATAGTGTCTATAAATGTGTCTTTAAATAGAATACACATAACATTGACCAGCTTTTGTGTTAGTTTGCTATTACGTAGTGCTTCAGGTGTTGAATATACATTATATAACATGTCCAATTGGTATGAGAGAAGGCCTAGGTACAAGGAAACATAAAAAGATAAGAGTCTCACTGAGAGGCCAAACAAACATCAGGAGAGAGAAAGAAGAGATTTGTCTCAAGTCTTGAGGTAAGCAATGTGTTTCAGTATAATGCCCTACAGACAATCATACAGTTACAATCATTAATTCTCTATATACAAACTTCCTGATTTACATACACTGTACTGCTCCTCAGTTTAAAATTTAATTAAAATAAAAAGGTGAGATCATATCCATGGTGCAATTTTTCTTTAGAGCGAGGAGGGGAATCGGACTCTACGAAGCCTGTTTCATGAGGTGGGCGATAATGAACAATATGGCTATTGAAGATGGCCTGTTTCCTCTTGCATACGTCACACATACTATCAAATATCTACAACAGTGCAAATTTTTTCCTGTTTCGATCAAAACACTCGCAAACAGCTGGCTAAACTACATCAGCTCATTTTCTGAAGTCATATGGTGGAGAACGGAGATGGCAAAGTAGATGCTGACATAGAAAATGTACATGCCTGTGTATTTTTATGTATATATCCATTAGGCCTTCATGTTTCAGGGGTCACGTCAACTCTTTACTGCGTTACATGAATGAGAAAGTCTACTGTGGCACAATGGCTCAAATGAAAGAAAGAAAGAAAAAGGAAGCGAGGACCAACCAGCGCTCTACCCCACATGGCTCCACTGGATGTAGGCACCGTTTTTTACTGTTACCTTCTCAGAAGACAACGTTGAGCTCAATAACACGTCAAGCCTATCCCACATCTCTCCGAAACATACGCTGCACCACCTAAATGTGTGTCCACTGAAGGAGACTCGATGCAAATATGAAATAAATGTGCTATAGTAGTAACAGTTTGCGCACTCATTGACACTACGGACTGTAACTGAGACATGACATCAACAAGCTTTACGAAGAGGAGGAGGCTATAGGATGCTACAGTACTAGTGCTACCTGAACATGCTACAGATTGAGACTACAACGATGGGAGACGGTTTCACATTAGCACAGAGCAGGAACCAGCTTTGCTGAGGAGCTCTACCCATTCCAGGCCACAGAGCCGCCGAAACCAGCCGTGTCCAGAGCCGACCTGTGGTTTTTATAAAAGCAAACCCAAGAAATGTGTTCTTTCAGGATAAATCTTGTCCTCAGAAATGTTATGTACCATTTTTAAAATGACAAAAAGTACCGTCTTTGCAGCTTGATGGATCAAGTACTTAGTAAAGCTGGCTTATTGTGTGCAGAGGAAAGCACCCCATCTGTAGTCAGTTCCTGTCATACGACACACACACACACGCGTCCATACAAACACATCCGCTTGCACAAGCGCACAAACCCTGAAGTTAGGAACGATTTCTATCGTCACACAGCACTATCGTTTTGATTATCGTTGAGTAAGAGCTGGGATTGCATACTGTACCATACATCTCCTAGGAGAGGCACCCTTCATCAATATCAGCTCATTCAATTCATTTCACACACATACAAGCCTTCACACACACACACACACACAACCCACCACACACAAACACACACAGACACACTGGAATAAATTTTGAACTGGTCAAAAAAAATTACAATCACATGCTTTATAACGGAATGTAGAGAAAGCTCATACCAGACCTTCCACTTCAGCCAAACACGCAGACTCTGTTATGAAGTGTCTCGTTGGCTTCGACCGCAAAGAAAAAGTTGAGAAGATTTTTTTTTTTTTTTTTTGACGTTCTGGTGGAATTTTTAATAGCGTTAAAAATCCTTCTCACGGTCACTCAGCAATCAGCTTAATAACAAAGTTCTGAAGTGCTTTTATACATAACTCTGGAGTTATGACAGCTGTCCCTTCAGAAAAGACTAAAATAGTTATTTTTTTAAATTATTTAAAATATATTTCCCCCATATTAAGCGGGAGCTCTAGACCTAGTCTATCCGACCCCTGGCAACAGACACTATGAGTACACCAACAACTGGCTATACCTCCATTCTCTACCATTCTTGTACATCTTTCACGTAACGTATATATTTCATCCATGCTCTAACAGAGAATGCAAAGTAACCAGACCTTCAAAGCAAGCTGCTTTCAAAGTCTACCGTATTAGATGTTTGAGAACAGCCTCTACAAGCAATTTCTGCTCCCAGCTGACAAAAAAAAAAAAAATATATATATATATAATAATATCTGTAACCTCTCCAGGTTTTCTATCTGCAGCTCTCCACTCATGCTGAGAGAAAACCTGCTTCTGTTTGCTCTGTAGCAGGGCTCCAAACTGATTCATTTCCCTCTCATCAACAAGAAGTTAACAGAGCGTTTAACAATATGCTGCCCTTAGCTTGCATTATGAGCTTGCTTGCGTGCTCGTGTGATGTGTCTTGGAGTGAGACAAAACGCCAAGCCTTTGCTAAGAAGCCACTCCATGCCATGCTTCCCCCCTCCGCGATGCTAAGATACTCGGGACACGAGTGTGTACGATCTGGACTTCGGGGCAGGTAAAGGTTAACCACAAGAATTTGGCAGCTATTGATTTGGCTACTAAATCCACACAAAAGTGCATTCACATTCAACATTCACTCTCTTGTTGTTTTTGTGACATCTTGTGTTTCTGACCTGCATCTGCGCTTTATATTTGACTGTTCTATGTTCTCTGTTAAAAAAAATAAATAAATTAACCATTAATAATAAAAAAAAAAAATCAATAAAAAAAAAAAAATCATATAACTCTGAAAGACCCCCAAGCTTAATCTGATCAAAGTGCAGCACTCCAGTGGAAGGAGTGGAAGTGTTTGAATGGGTTCAGATAGCAGGTCCTAGATAGGGTCTGGTGCAGGGGGTCTAGCTCTCTGAGAGTAAGCCACTTGCACATACCATAATAGATATACTCACAAACAGGACTGCTCACACACACACACACACATACACACACACACTCACACAGAGTCTAGCTTAGATGAGTCTGGCCTCTCCCTCCATGTCTGGCGGTAGATCACACACTCCTGTGAAGTGCATTTCCTTTCCCTTGCTTCCCTGTCCCGTCCCGGCTCTGGCCCCTCGTTCCCCCAGGCTGGGAGAGGGCTGTTGGGCCTGAGGGTCTGGCGACGTCCCACGGGGGATTCCACCTGCCCGCCTCTCTTTCAGGAAGACCTCTAGTCGGCGCAGCATCTGCTTGGGGTTCTTTTTGGCAAACAGCTCCACTTCTGAGGGGTTAGAAAACACAGAGACTGTGGGACTCACGCCGGGACGACAATCTGTGTTTAACCGTGTTTCTGCAATCTGGGTTCAACACATAGAGCCATGATTCAGGATTTAAAGGGACACAGACTGGAAACAGCAAGTCTGGGTCCACCTATCAGCACCTCTAGAGCTCAATACCACCTCATATCATTGAAATGCTCTTCATACTGGAAAGTGTAGCATCAGAGTCAGGCTAGCTGTTCCCCTCTCTATCCAATCTTAGTGCTATGCTAAGCTAACCAGGTGCTGGCTGTAGCTTCATATTAAAAACAGACAAATATGAGAGTGGTATATCTACTCATCTAAATTTCAGCATGATTGAATGTACAGTTGTCTAAGAGACTTGGCAAAAAGTGGCACAGCAAAGAATAGTCTAATAATATTAGAAGAAAACTTCAATATATGCAGTATTTTCACCCGAATACAATTCACCTGCAATAAAATGATCATGAACCAACATGATTTCAAACTGCAATACACCTTTCTCTTTACCTTTTAGTACAAAGCCAGAGTCAGCAATGGTCTTTTGTTGGGTCTTCCACAGTTGGTACAGGTGCAGGTACGTCGCAACGTAGAACTCATTCAGCACACCGACCACTTGCTGACGACGATTGCACTCCCTGGTATGACCGAAGACACAGAGGGGCATTGGTGAGAGGAGATACGGTGTGACAAATACATACCTACAGAAGATGCTGTCAAACAAAAACTGTGGCTCACTTGGACAAGGCTTCCTCTCTGAGTACTTGCAGAGCGATGCGGGTCATGTTGATTGACATCACACTGAATGGAAAGTTCTAAAGCAGAGAAAATACAGGAGGAAATTTAGGTCCATAGGGAACACTTACAAAGGCTACAAGAGCAAGTCCTGAAACATGCTCGTCTTGTAGCCGACTTCATTGATCCCCGAGGGGAAGTTCTCTTTTTCGCTCTAGTTCCCTCTGCAGGGAGGACAAAGGTCAGGGTCGGCTACAAAGCAGCGCGCCTGGTGTGGGAGGAGTTTCAGTGTCTCTCTGAAGGATTAGTGAAATCTGATCCCTGAATCAGTTGTCCGTGATGAACACAGGCACAGCACAAATATCCAACAGATTAAAAAAAAACATTCACGCAGGAAGACATTTGCTCTTTTATGAACTGGTGATACCTGTGTAGGATGTTGTGATAACTTGTAGATGTCTCTAGCCAACGGTAGAGTCTCTGGGTCCATCACAAAGTAAAGAGTATGCATCAGTCCCAGGAAACCAGTGCCACGTAGGTCAGTGGCTGGGTCTGTACCTGCAGTACATAAATCAAACCAAATTATTACATACCAGCTTATAATCATAATAATAAGTGTTTCCTTGTTCGGTGTGAATACTGCCAATAATCACACAGAGGCCTCCGAACCATTTCTTTCAATTAATTAATTTGTTTATTTAAAGAAACATTTTATACTGTAGAAATAAAGTGTGATGCACTGACCTTAAAATGTCTTACAAACAATTACAATGTGATATCAAAATGTTATATATATATATATATATATATATATATGACATTTAAAACATTAATATAGCAACAAACAACTATTTGCTATGTAAAGACATAGTGCAGTGCCTGTGTTGCTACCGCAGCCTGTCTGTGCTTTGTTTACGAACCTGGGCTGGCCATGTTAGTGCACATCTGTGTACATGTGAGTAGAGCGTTTGAAACGGCTGTTTTTTCTCACCATCTGTGAATTAAGGATTTATTTTGAGCAAACCAGAGTTGGTCGTTGTTGGAACAGTGGAAAGACCAAACAAAGAACGTGATTTTGTTTCTGTCCACTTTGAATGTAGTTAGGTTGTTACGTTGATATGTGATATGTGATCTATGAAGCCTGGTGGCGAGTGATAGCGATATTATGGCTGTTTCTGGTTAAACAACCTGTTTTGCGGTTATTTTCTCATCTCACTCTGTGAATTAAGGATTCATTTTTGTCCAAACCAGCGTTGGGGATTGTAGGTAAAAGTAACAAAGGCGATTTTAGTGAGTTTTATTTTATTTCAGTCCAGTTTTATAATAATCTGTTAAGTAAAATTAGTTAGGGCTCATTGTTTTGGTCTGAGATGCTGGTGCTCTAGTGTGACATAGAGCAGTTATTCACCAGCAAGATTAATTCTGGTATGAATCACTGTATTTATAGCGAAGGCGTCGTACCCTGAAAGCCGATGTTTTCCCAGTGCGCCCCGTAGCGAGGACAGTCCAGCCTGCTGCCAATCAGCCTCTTATAAATGGTCTGGAGGACACGCATGTGAACCGGTTGGCTGTTGTCCACATGGCCTATGGAAAAAAACAACACATATGTAATATGTAAAAGTGAAAATCTGTGGTTTTATACATGGCGGGAAGATAACACAAACAGGCCCAGCAAACACACACTCACACTGTGCGATGGCAAAGACCAGATCCCTCTCCTCCAGGAGTTCCCTGTGCAGCCGTGGAGGTCCAAAGAGGAAGTGTGTGATCGCGGCCAGACCTGTCCTGCGAATGGTTGGCTGGATGTTCTTCTGCAGATGGGGGTGGGGGCAAAAACACAACACCTGCTTTAAAGTTATAGTTAGAGCCATCAATAACATTCTTCCACAAGTTTATATCATAATGAGTAGACAAGTATAGCAATTTCAATCTACTGTAATAGTTCTATGATGTTTTTTTTTACTGTATTTACACATTATAGTTAACCTGTGGCTACAGTTCTCACCGCAGATAAAAGCATAGTAAGTATGTTTATTTTTATTTCTGATGTGCTTTTCGTTGCGGTGCTAATTTGCAAACTCAACTCCCTCCATGTGTTTCACAATAAAAAGCCTTCCAGCACTTTCCTTCCCCCCCGGGAAGCTTTTACTGTGAAGTCATCAAACTTAAAGTGTGGGTATAGCAATGACAATGCTTAATTTACCATATAAGCCATTAGAGTGCAGGTAGATTTGTTTTCCAGCCTTCATTTGCTGCTTCCCCTGCTATTATTTAAGGGTTGGGCATTATTGAAATATCAGCTTTTATTTGAGAATTTTTGGGTATGTAGCATTCCTTACCAGCAAGTCCCCGAGGTCTGTGGTCTGGAAGTACTGCAGGGCTTCATTGAAGGAGATGATCAGGGTCGGGTTCGAGTCCTCAGTGAGAGCTGGGGGACATTACATAAAAAGTGAATCTTTAAGAACAGCAACTGACACAGAGAAACCCCATGTTGGTGCAAACAGGTGAAACAGCAAGAAGCAGCTGACCTGGTTGGACGTTCTCCAGAGCATCCCACTCCTGTCTGGCCTTTTCAAACTCCACATTTTCTTCTGTACAGATAATTTTAAAATAAAATAAGGTGAGAAAACGAATACAACCGACTGTGTCACACACACAAACTTCACAAGAAGAGTATCAGCCGATGGGGCTATGGTGCAAATGCTGACACCCATTCTGTTCATTCTCAGTCACAAATCCTTCCTGTCTAACAGAACTGCATCACTCAGAGTGCCACTGAGACCCTGCACCTCCTCCAAGCTGGCAATCTGCACTCCTGAGGGAGGCTTTACCTGCAACGGCTGCCTGGTATCTAGGATGCACTGACAAATTCCTGAGGGAAGAGCATGTGAGACAAAAGATAGATCGTGTGAGAGTATTTGTGCGTTACCTGCAGGCTTAGGCTGGTCGCCTCCAGCTGCCAGGGTCTGCAGAAGGCCATTCTGCTTCAGTGCTGAAATCTGAATTGTTAAATATTAGATTACCTTACATTCAAGCAGGACCATGTTGGCTGAAGTGAGACAGTAAGAATTAAATGTACTCACCGGCAGGGATCTGAGCTGTGCGCTGCCGTTGGTGTGGTCTTTGACATTGTGACTAATTATTAGTCCGTTCATGACCTGAGAAGAAGAAAAAAAAGTTCAAAACGTGATTTATAAAAACACAGGAAACACTTATTACAATAAGAAGTGATTTTTAGCTGAACTCACAGGCTTATGGTTGGAGTGTCCATTGGTGATTTCCTCTAATGGTTTACATTCATGTGACAAACCATTCAGGCCCTAACAGGAGAGCAGCAACACAGAGCAGATGTTTCAGACATGAACACAATGCAAAAAATAGTGCAGCTTTCACTGCTTTTAAGACGGGTAATTCATTATCACTGCATGCTTCATTATCCTCCCATTTCTTTAGTAGTTCTGGCATTTAGAGCCCGACCAATATATCAATACATATGAGCAGACACATCGTTATTGTATCTGTATCAGTTTATATGTTATACAATGTGTGCCAAATATGAAATCTGTTTTTTTTCTGGTATATAATGAAATAAAAATGCTTGTAGTAATATATATATATATATATATAGGGCTTTTTTCTTCTCCATTAGAGTATGCTGTGATTTATCGATTTAAATAATACTGTGACAAGCAGTACAGAGTAAGAGAGAAGAAGAAGCTCTTAGCATTGTCAGCTAGAATTGATTGACAATCCATATGTTAAATTATTTAACTTAACTTTAATAAAGGTATTTGTTTAAGAAGGCAGCCTTATGAGTTCCTTTGCATGGTCATATTGGTGCACAGTCCACACTGAAAAGGTCTATTTTCATTCTACATACTGTCTGCCGCCATATTGGTAATCTGTGAATCTGTCGGGCTCTATCTGGCATCCATAAAATCTAAAAGTAACTTGAGAAAAAAGGGGAACTACAACAAGCCAAATAAAAATCTCAAAGATGTGTCACCACCGTTTTTTTTTTTACTCGTTAGGAATTCTACAATTAACGGGTTCGCTTCCTTTGAGGATAACTATCGCTGGGCTCTCACGTTGCATCCAGCGAGGCAGGGGACATACTTATCCAACTGTTTACAGAAGAAGCAATAGACAAGGCTGGAGGCCAGGGAGGAAGAAGTAATGTTACGGCTAGAACACCAAGCTGGGGATAAGGGAAATGCCCTGTCAGCTGCCAACCCGCCGCCATACCAAGCGAGCCAGACTACAGATTACAACTAAAGCTGAGGGGAGCACTATTGACCTAAGGTTAAAGTTAAACACGTGTGACAGAACTGCTTAAACAAATGAGATCTTAATTGTTTAACATTACACAACAGTGTGGAACAGGAGGGGAACATTTATCTCTGAGGGTGACTTCATGGCAACGGTGCTTTAATTTTGTTGACCAACAATGAAAGTGTAGCTGCTTTAATGGTGTTAAGTTGCTTTAAACCCAAACACTGGAATGAGATTAAGCGTTTACAAAGACCAAAGGCGCAATAATGTTACCTCAGTGTGGCATGTGACATCAGTGTCTTCTTCCATTGCATATGAGTGTGTTGGCTGGCGAGCGTGTTCCTGATCCTGGCCTCTAAAGGCTTCTGTAGTCATGGACTGAGATGGGCTGAGGAGCTAATGCAACGACCACCATGGTTTCTGTAGTGCACATCTGTAGTGACTGCGAGTATCTATGCTTTTCTACTTTTCTCCTCATATACACAGAGAACTCAGCATCCACAAGTCACCAGTATGATTTCACAAAACTGTCACTGGCAGAAGAAATCCACGTTGCGCACATCATACTCTCTTTTTCGGTGTAATAGTGTGGGGGTTTTTTTTTGATGGCAGCCTGGTTTTATCAGCTTCTCCAAAGTCTAACCTTGAACACTGAGAGGAATGTGCAGGTATCAGTCCACAAGAGCTGACAGGAGGAAATGGCTATCCATCAATACACAAGTTTCCTGGAAACCTGCCTCCTTCCTCTCCTCCACAGATCTGCTTGGCCGGTGGGTTCACTCCTCAGCCCCATCAGAGGTGCACAGAAGCTGGATGATGACATTGCTTTTCAGGGCTGGGCTCTCCCCGTCCGAGACACTTCATTACTTTGGCACTGAAGTACAAATCCAGTACGCGCCTCGAGGTACCCGTACAGTTGCAGTTTTGATTTACTTGCGCCGCAGCCGTGTTATGTCTTCAGCCTCACATGAAACAGCAGCACACGTCCGGAGTAAGAAGTGCAGGCGTCCAGTGAGATGTGGGTCATGGATAGAGTTCTCGTATGGTCCTGAGGAGGGGCTGTCATATGTACACAAGATCTAAAAACTAGAACAAAAAGAAAAGGTAATAAACATCAATGAGCAACACACAAATCACATATTGATTACATGATAATGCATAATTAGACCTGAAACGAATACTCGATTATTTGTCCAACTATCAAGTAATTTTGCCAGAAAATACGTCCAAATTCTCTGATTTCAGCTTCTGAAATGTGAATGTTTTCTGGTTTCTTTAGTCCTCCGTGACAGTAAACTGAGTATCTTTGGGGTTGTGGACAAACCAAGACGTGTAAAAAAAAGGCCTGTAGAAAAAAAAGAAGACCTTATTTATTTTATTTTACCTTTATTTAACCAGATACGGTAATCGAGATCCAATTCTGAGGCAGCGACAGAAAGGTCTTTACAAAAGCATACAGCAGACCATTTCATTCATTCATTCATCTCTGGGTAGAAAGCTAAATTAAATTGTTATTTCCACAGTTTAGATTATTACAGAAGATATAAATGTTAAAAAAAACTCTTAGCATAAGCTGAGTGAAGACAACCTATAAAGTTAAAACAACCAAAGAACTAACAGAACAATGACCAAGCACCAATTTGTCAAAAGAAACTAAGCATATTAAGTACGTATAATTGTCGAAAAACCAAAACAAATACATAATACTGACAGAAAAGTTCCTTAAAAATGTAAGAAAAACTAATCTCGGATGCAATATTTAAAGGGATTTACTAAAAATTCAGCCAAATCGCTTCCTGTAGTTAGTACAGTTATTCTTATACATCGCACACAATATGAAATATACAGAAAAAGAGGTCCCTTAATATTACTATTATTAATATAATTACTGTTTTTATTTATGCATATTTTAATTGATGTATTATTATTTATTTATTTATTAAAACTGCACATTAAAGTGTCAATAAATCAAACCTTTACTCTGACATAAGTAACACTTTAACATTTCACATTAAATACAAGACTTTTAATAACATGGCTACTTGTAGAAGTCTAAAATCACAGGAGGAAAAAAAAAAAAAGGTGTTAAAACTACAACATCAAAATCAATCACAAAACATATCGATCGACTCCCTCTTTTTGGCCTTTAATCGATGTGATCGGAGAGTCGCAGCCTGTAGCAACCGACACGGCTAGCAAATATGTCAGCTAGCAACCCCGCAGGCACAAAGACGCAGCTACAGCTTTCAGACCCTCCTCTCCCTCCCCTCCCCTCCTTCCTCCCTCCCTCCGCAAACCGAGAACGCAACACCGGGGTAAAATACACGCAAAAAGCCGGTGAACACCCCCGGTTAATGTAACGCCACGAACACCGAGTGCGGTGAAGTTAGCACCGGGAAAGCCAGCTGTCAGGCTAACTAACGGTGCTAGCAGGTAGCTCCGTTGAACTGTAACGGATGGAGTCTGTAGTCCCAAAAAAAAAATCCCGACAGCCTCCAACCGGATTAATCTGCCTTTTTTTTTTTTTTGTTCCGTTACATTTAAATAAGGTTGCGGTACATCGCCAGCTACGGTCCCCATCCGTCGTTAACATACAACATGAAGCGTTTAGTTTAAAAAAAAAAAAAAAAAAAAAAAAAGTACCTCAGTTTGTGAGTGTTTCTCCCTCCAATCTCAGCTTCCCTTCCCCCGTCCACTGGCCACGGTAATTTACAAGTGCATCATGGGAATTGTGGTTTCCTGTCGGACTCTAGCTTCATTACGTCATTGCTCGCTCTCTCTCTCTCTCTCTCTCTCACACACACACACACACAGAGAGAGAGATACTGTGACCTCCTTTTTCTACCTCCCATCAGCACAGATATTAAAGCTAACAGCGCATTAATAATAAAATAAGTAAAATATTAATTGTTTGAAGTAGTAACTCTGGTTTGTTTTTAGTGGATTTAAATTAAATAATTTGTAATTTGTGCAGTATTTTTAAGTGTTAATTAATTCCAGTTGACTCATTTTCTTTAATAGGATTTTATATTATATGTTATAGTGCTATAATGCTTAAGATTTGTTTTTTATTAGTCTTTAAATCATCATATATCCAAGTAAGTATCAATTTTTAATGATTTTAATGTTAGCCACTATCGCTAACAACTTAATTCTATCTTACAATTACACAAAATTGTGATTGATTTTATATTGTTTTAATTATACGTCAGCTGTTTTGACAGGTCGTGTCATAATTTGCTTGAGCGGAAGACAATTTTTGCATAAAAAAGATGTATTTAAGTTTCTTTATTCAGATAAATTCTGTTAACATATTTAAAATACGTTTGTAGAAATGCTGCATATAATGTACTTAATAGTTTTAAGTTGAATTAACTGAATAAAATTGGTACGATTAGCTAAATTTACCCAAGTTGCCTTAATAATAAACACTCAAATCATTTATTTTATAAGCTTAAATTGTTTGTTTGAGTTAATTATCGGTTTTCAGAAGTTGAGATAACTTGTTTTGCTCTTCTTTGCTACAGATAATGATTATAATAATCATGAAAAGCCCTGTAATGTAACGTTTGGACAACGTTTGGTGTAAGAATTTCCCCTAAATTTCTCCTTGACAGAATAAAAGCTGATGTTTGAAGTTTCAGTCAAGGACGCATAGATGGATACTGGATGAAAAAATAAATAAATAAAAAGATTTAATCAAGGCTGTCATCGGTGCCAGGGATTCGACACGACTGCCAGATCTTGTTTTGTCTCCCTGGGCTTATTACACAACTTATCTGCCCTGGATAATTTTCCCTTTCCTATATACCCCAGAATTTCTCCACAAGATCTCCGAGCGGCTACAGCTCTTCCTCACATCTGCTTGTGTTCAGATTTTTGAGGGATTTTCAAGCAGATGTCAGTTATTAACCAATTAACCTTAACCCATTCTTTAAAAATAATAATAATAATAATGTTTGTTTTGCATTACACAAGCCAGCCCTTGGAGCTATTCTGCTGAGGTTTGTTTTATTTACCGTGGGGCATTTGACTCAGGCCTAAATCCTCAAATAGCTGATGAAAAAGAAAGGGTTACACCTTCTATTTCACCTCAGAAACATTATCAGGCTCAGTGGCGTTGTCTTAATAACATTTCCTGAAAGTAGTGCTGGTAAATATCTTGCAGCCAGCTTAATCATGTGAGGCGGAGAGTGAGAGTCCTGGCTCCTGCTGTCTGCGCTACATCCAAGAAAATGAGCTGTTACAAAACATTTTGGATCGATTAAAACTACACAAAAATGGGGGAAAAAAATAAAAGAAAATGTTACACAACTGGCAATAATGGAGGACAGATTTCCTGTTTGGGATGAAATCCACCGTTACTTGATCTCGGGGAATGTGCTGCTGCTGGCTCGCGCCAAGCTGCTCGCTGCTGGGCTCCTCACACATCTGAATGGCCAAACACCTGCTCGTTCTGGCAAACTGTCAGTCTGAAAGCCCATCAAGGAACAGGAAGACATTTTTCACGAGCTACATTTTTCATGGTTTAAAAAGAGAAACCTTTAAAAAATCATCCGCCTCCTCCCCCAGTGGAAGAGGAATAATTGTGCAACTGCTGTGTAGTTTCCAAGATGAGTTTTTTTTTTAAGAAAGAAGTCAGTGTGACCCAGTGTTTGTGTGGTGTTTTCGTCTTTATGTATTTCAAAGTTAACCACGACCACTGAAGGTTGTTTTACATGCTTTTATTTAGGCTCTAATGCGTCAGGAAGGGACAGAGTAATCATTATCCACAGAGCTTTTTCTTTCTTCTCCAACAGCATAGTAAAAGCATAAAGACATAAATATCAATGACGTTACAATCATTTTACTCACTTGGCAGTCATAGTGTAATCCATAAATCAATAAATAAAACACTAAGACATAAAAGTGCAATTTCACGGCAGAGGGAGGGACGATAACTGTTATCAGGAAGAAAACAATGTGTGCGGTTTGTTACATGTTTTACGCCTCATGCTGACTGCCAAGGTGGAGCGGAGTGATGTGGATGAATGTGTCAGAAACAATCGAGGCGAACAGTGTGTAAGATGCAAAAACTCGTGACATATTCTCTATCGAGAGGGACGAGGAAAAACACACACATTTGCCAGTTGAAACCAACATCTCAGACTTTCCTAAGATCTCAGACAGGCCTCATCTTCATCTGATCTCCTTAATACTCTCTGGATTTCCGTGTTTCTTCAGCAGTTCTAAGCAGATTTATGTGATTCTTTTAATGAGCAGGGGTTTTGCTTTCCTTCCACTGTCGAGCGCACTGTGCCAAAGCTCAAGAGGCATCTTGTGTCAGCAGGCATGAGCCATCTCCATAGAAACATTATTAGCCATCCTTTGCCTGAGGTGGTTGGCAAAGTCCACCTGCGTCTGAGAGAGCACTTTGTTTATGATTGTCTTCGGGATCCAGCCCTGCAGAAGACACAGACAAAGGTGTTAGAGTACAGTAGCTGCTTTTTACTTTTTTAGTTCTTGAATAAATTTGAATGCAAATATGAGTGGTTATTATGCAAAAGCAAATATATACCTTTAGATCTATATTTAGTAACCAGGTGAACTTGGTCTTATTTGGGTCTTCAGCACAGGGCTTCATGACTATACAGGTAGGTCCATTCTCCGCTCTGAAACATGCAAAGATCAATGCACAACATCAGTTTTAAACGGCATTCCCATCCATCCATTACACCAATGCATGCACTACAAGTGAACATTTCCTCTCGACTCACCTGACCACACCCCTCTGCTCCGGCATTTTCGGGTGCTGAGTGGACATTCCCGCCAGGAAGCAGGAGGAGCCCCGGCGCTTGGCACAGCGGACGCTGACAAAGTCCCTTGGTCCCACCACATTACCGGGTGTCTCTGCAGACACCTCATGTGTAACCATCGTTTCCGGTCCGATCTTTTGAAGGATCTGTGCATTGTGAAATGATATAAATATATAAATATGTATATGTATATAGCTTGTATTTGTATGTGTTTCTCTCTTTCTGCTCATATTCCAACCCCCCTCGGTGCTGCCTCTCTTTTTTACCTTGACCTGTTTGACGTTTGGGTTCCACTCCCCCATTTGCTCCATGTTTCCCACCAGCTCTTGGTAAAGATTGTCAGGATGTTGCTCCAGCATCACCTCCAGCTTGAACACCTTCCCAATGTCAGGCAGCATCTTACTCAGGACTTTGTCTCCATTCGCCTGGGGAGAAGAGTATTCACATATTTTCTTTCACATTTGATGAAATATACAGTGGATAAATATCTATTCTCATCAGAGCTGTAAAGAGCCACACCTTTAATCATTCTGTGCATGCTTGGATGTGCATGTCTCTATACTTTTTTTGTTTTTCTTCTTTAGTATTTTTGATTGATTGTTTTAACAACATTTTATTTTCTGTGTAGTTCCTGGTTTTATTTCTCTATGATTTGCTATCTTTGCACTTATTGTATTTCGTGAAGCACCGCGCTGTAGAAGTAAAGTTAGTAGTATTATTATTATACTCACAGCCACAATTTCAGTGGTCCAGCCGTCCTGTTCGCTGAGGATGCTGATGGCCTTTTGCAGCGCGTTCTCACCTTGCTTCACATAAGACATCTCCTCCTCGCTGTACCCCTCCTCTTCCTGAATCCGGGAACCTAGAAACATAGAGGAAGTAAAAATGTTAGTCAACTTCCACTATTAGGTCTCTGTATTTTTAGGCTATATTTCACTGACATATCTTCTTCTTTAAAAGCTCTTAAAATAAGCAGTTTCTGTGTGGTATTACACTTGAATTATCACATGTATCGACTCACTGAGGAGGGAGCTGCGTCGGCGGACTTGGCTGATCCAGTTGCTGGGGCCCGGACCTGCCAGTCTGTTCAGCTCATGGTGAATGGCCACCATGGCATTCTTCCTCAAACCTGGGAGACAGAGGCAAAAATAACACAGTTACTACACTTCTGAATCCATTCATTACACATACAGTATATCAAAAGGAAGGAAATCCCAAGAAAAGGTTCATACAGTCACTGGGCTCCATGCAGAACTCCATTCAGAAAATATGCGTTTTTGAGCATACAGTAAAAATAGGGAGAAAACTAGGCCATGGATGCTGAATGTCAGTCTGAACAGGATTCTTTCACTCACCTGTCATGTTCCTCATATGCCGGTAGGAGATGCCAGCGCACAGTTTGAAGGTTGCAGGCAGCATTTTCCGTTACAGGAGTCTCTTGAAGCAAGAAAAAACAAAACTGAACCTAAACTGGAAAACTGTAAAAGCAAGTAGATCACAAAGATTCAATATCTGTCTGAGCTCTATATCTTCTTGAAAGAAGTGGATGAACCGGCTGACAGTGCTGTAGAGAGGACTTGGGTTTCTGTCTGTAGACTGAAAGTGCTGCATATATAAGAGCACTGCCCACAAGGCCGCAGTGCTATCACCACTTAGATAAACACACACACACATCACCTCACTCTTCCAACGGCCATGTCGCCAAGGTTGCCCGGCGGACACGACGAGGATGTCTCA